AGCATACCGCAGCACCTCCAAGTGCCCTCCCTGACTCGCCTCATGCGCGCATGTCCTGCCGTCATTGGCCTTCTCCCTTAGCAGCTCCTCCCCGCATGTCTCTACAGCATACCGCACTACCTCCAAGTGCCCTCCCGCACTCGCCGCATTAGGGCATGTCCTGCCGTACTGGTCCTTCTCCCTCAGCACCTCCTCCCCGCATGTCTCTGCGACATACCGCACTACCTCCAAGTGCCCTCCCGCACTCGCCGCATTAGGGCATGTCCAGCCGTCATTGGCCTTCTCCCTCAGCAGCTCCTCCCCGCATGTCTCTGCGACATACCGCACTACCTCCAAGTGCCCTCCCGCACTCGCCGCATGAGGGCATGTCCAGCCGTCATTGGCCTTCTCCCTCAGCAGCTCCTCCCCGCATGTCTCTGCAGCATACCGCACTACCTCCAAGTGCCCTCCCGTACTCGCCTCATGCGCGCACGTCCAGCCGTCATTGGCCTTCTCCCTCAGCAGGCTCCTCCCCGCATGTCTCTACAGCATACCGCACTACCTCCAAGTGCCCTCCCTCACTCGCCAAGTGCGCGCATGTCCTGCCGTCATTGGTCTTCTCCCTCAGCAGCTCCTCCCCGCATGTCTCTACAGCATACCGCACTACCTCCAAGTGCCCTCCCGCACTCGCATAGTGTGCGCATGTCCAGCCGTCATTGGCCTTCGCCCTCAGCAGCTCCTCCCCGCATGTCTCTGCAACATACCGCAGCACCTCCAAGTGCCCTCCCTCACTCGCCAAGTGCGCACATGTCTTGCGATACTCGTCCCTCTCCCTGAGCAGCTCCTCCCCGCATGTCTCTACAGCATACCGCACTACCTCCAAGTGCCCTCTCAGACTCGCCCATTGCGCGAATGTCGCGCCATGTTCGTCCTTCGCCCTTAGCAGCTGCTCCCCGCATGTCTTCCCAACATACCGCACTACCTCCAAGTGCCCTCCCTCACTCGCCCAGTGCGCGCATGTCCTGCCGTCATTGGCCTTCTCCCTCAGCAGCTCCTCCCCGCATGTCTCTACAGCATACCGCACTACCTCCAAGTGCCCTCCCTCACTCGCCCAGTGCGCGCATGTCCTGCCGTACTCGTCCTTCGCCCTCAGCAGCTCCTCCCCGCATGTCTCTACAGCATACCGCACTACCTCCAAGTGCCCTCCCCCACTCGCATAGTGCGCGCATGTCTTTCCGTCATTGGCCTTCTCCCTCAGCAGCTCCTCCCCGCATGTCTGTACAGCATACCGCACTACCTCCAAGTGCCCTCCCGCACTCACCGCATTAGGGCATGTCCTGCCGTACTGGTCCTTCTCCCTCAGCACCTCCTCCCCGCATGTCTCTGCGACATACCGCACTACCTCCAAGTGCCCTCCCTCACTCGCCCAGTGCGCGCATGTCCTGCCGTCATTGGCCTTCTCCCTCAGCAGCTCCTCCCCGCATGTCTCTGCGACATACCGCACTACCTCCAAGTGCCCTCCCGCACCCGCCAAGTACACGCATGTCCAGCCGTCATTGTCCTTCTCCCTCAGCAGCTCCTCCCCGCATGTCTCTGCAACATACCGCACTACCTCCAAGTGCCCTCCCTGACTCGCCAAGTGTGCGCATGTCCTGCCGTCATTGATCTTCTCCCTCAGCAGCTCTCCCGCATGTCTCTGCAGCATACCGCAGCACCTCCAAGTGCCCTCCCTCACTCGCCAAGTGCGCGCATGTGCTGCCGTCATTGTCCTTCTCCCTCAGCACCTCCTCCCCGCATGTCTCTACAGCATACCGCACTACCTCCAAGTGCCCTCCCTTACTCGCCAAGTATGCGCATGTCCCCCCATACACAGCCTTCGCCCTCAGCAGCTCCTCCCCGCATGTCTCTACAGCATACCGCACTACCTCCAAGTGCCCTCCCTGACTCGCATAGTGCGCGCATGTCTTGCCGAGATCGTCTTTCTCCATCATCAAGGTCTTCAGAGTCTCTTTCCCGCATTGTTTCTCTACCGTCTTCAGTACCTCCACATGCCCATACTCCGCCGCCCAGTGCACCATCGACTTCCCTTTCTTGTCCTTCGCTCCTACCTCTGCTCCTGCCTCTATCAGCTCCCTCACGCTCCCCGCCCTCCCCAGCATCCCCGCTACATGCAGCCCTGTCCTCCCGTCCTCCGTCCGCTCGTCCATGTCGCATTCGGTCGCCTTCAGCAGCCCGATCAGCTCCCCCTGTCCTCGTACCACCGCCGTCACTGTCGGCGGCTCCCCGTGCTGGCCCGACCTTGACATCGACAAGCCGTACATCCCGCACAGCCTCTTGCTCTGCTCTCGTCTGCCGTCATCGTCTGCTGGAGTCCGCGAGCTGATCTCGTACATCAGACCCGCCATTGTCCTCCAGTACACTGACTGCATCGACTCCTCCGCAAGTGCTTGACATTTGTTTTGTCCCTGAGTGTCTTCGATCCAGTGCCTGAGCTTATTGATCGCCATGTCCTTGACTCGGTTCGACAGCTCGATCGCCTCCTTGTAGTTTGACTCGTCGTTGTACCAGCCCGACTCCCTCGCCCTGCTCGCCTCCACCAGCCCCCAGCTCTCCTCCACGATCGACCCCACAAGACCCTGATGGTACTTATAAAATGAATCGTATAATGCTGTCCTGAGCCGCTCCTGGATCCTCCCCTCCCACCCCCTCACGTCTCGCTCTACCTCCCTCGCCAGGTTCTCCATCAGCCCTACGTACAGCTGCTTCCTCTTCCCCACAAAGTCCTCGATCGTCAAGCTCATCGTGTTCGCGTTGATCTTCAGCTCCAGCACCTTCACCCGCCTCCCCTCTACCTCCATGTACCGCGGCGTCTTCACCACCTCCAGGTACGACAGCGGCGGATACAACATCTCCCCCTCCCCCGGATACTGAGACACAAACGTCAAGCTCGCCCCCCGGTCGATCGCCCCGCAGCTGATCTCGAACACGATCGACTCTCCCTCCTCCCCGGCGTACTGCATCGCCTTCCTGACGTCTGTCGTCGTGCTCAGCAGCCCGTACTCGACTCCTCCGGACACCCCGAGCTCGTCCACGTTGAGGAAGCTCTCCGGCAGCCTCATCCCCTTCAGCCCCCTCCACACAACCCGCAGCCCTTCCGGCAGAGGCGTGTGACGAGACAGCTTCACGACCCCGCTGACGATGCAGTGGATGGTCGTCGTGTACTTGTTGGGGAGCTTGCTGGAGTCTCGGAGGAGCTCGTTGGGAGCTCGAAGAACAGAGTTGTACTTGAAGTACATCGGCCCTGTCATAGCAAGCCTCTTGTCAGCCTTCTCACGCTCTCTTGCTCCTCTTTCCTCCCCCATGCTCCTTCTCCCTCTCTCGCTATCTCTCTCTTACCTGTGTAGAGCTGCAGCGCGATCAGCTCCGCCTCCTGTAGCCCCGCCTTGATCGCCGTGTCCAGCCCCTTCAGCTCCTCCATCCCTCGGATCACCCGCGTCCCGTCCGACAGCCTCCGCCTCCTCTCCGGGTCTGTCACGTTGAGCCACTCCTCCTTGGCTGTCGTCGTGATGTTGTAGTTGCTCGTCGTGAACGCTTCCTCCGCGTCCTTGCCCTTGCAGTGCTCCTCCTCTATCGCCTTCATCAGCTCCGTCTGAGGTAGCCCGATCCGCTCCATCAGCCCCCCGTAGTACTCCTCGATCTTCCCGTACACGGCCTCGCGTACCTCCCCGCTGCCTGTACCGTCCGACTCATTCACCGCAAACTTGCTGTTGTGCGACGTCGCACCGTCTCCTCCCGCCCGCCCTCCTGCCTCTGCCGGCCTCCTCAGCGCCTCCTCGAGCCTCCTCCCTATCGCCGTCTGCCATAGAGCCGATAGAGCGCTTTCCGTCATCCCCTGTAGCCCCGCAAGAGGACTCGCCGCGCTCCCGCCGGGGATGCACTCCGCCATGACTCGGAGGATGTTGAGGTCGCCGAGGCTGCTGGTCTTGCGCTCGAGCTCCCACTCTCTTGCGACTCTGACCTCGTAGTCGTCGTACGAGAGCCTGTCAGGGCTGAGGGCCGACGCGTCGACGCCGAGAGCCATGCGGAGGTTGTTGAGAATCGTTTTGTATTCCTTTGAGTCTAGAGGGGTCTGAAAGAGCTTCTTGAGGTCAGAGCTGATGTCGTCGGGGATAGTCCAGCTGGTCGTCTGCTGGGCACTAGCTGGTGGATGAGCCGTGGGATTGCTGATTTGAGCGAGAGCGGAGGTGTGGGCGAGCAGCACTTCATTCTTGACTCTCAAGGTCAAGAGCTCACGCTCAAGCTCTATGATCTCTCTCTGTACATCCTTCCCCATGCCGTACCAGACTAGCAGGAGGGGACAAGGCTCAGCAGATCTCAACGCCTGTCACAAGCGTCATATCATCGAGAGTTGCTTTGAGGGGTGATTCGATCTTGTTGTCTTCCACAAAAAACTAAGGCTTGTCATCTACACACAGCACAAGTTTCTCTCCTTAGGACTTTCAGAGAGCTCTAGGACAACACAGTCACAGCTGTGTCATCGCTAATATTCACGAGGATATGAAGGCTTTGATCCCATCATGTGCCGTGAGCTCTCTGTCCGTAGAGTTACAATCATTTGTTCCCTTGCAAGAATCATTCCACATTCTTAATTATCTCTTCTCTTAACTTCCGTTTTGTTGGAAGGGAAAGAGGGAAGAATGGCAGTATAACAAAAGGAAAAGCGCATAACGTTTCTAGCTTCCCTCTACTTGCAAACAAGAATGCCAAGAAAACATACAACAACCAGACAGGGAATATAATTCCCTCCTCTCATCTCCCTCTTTTTCCCTCCTCTTCTCCTTTCTTCTGTCTGCTGTCACATCTCCATCTCTCTGCAGCAGTTACAAGACATCTCTTACACTCTAGCGACATGACAAGCTTGTCGTCACCCTCCCTCAAGCTCCTTCCATCCTCTCTCCCTCTCTTCTCCCGCTCTTCAATCGCTTCCATTGTTATAAGCACTTTCACGACCACCCCTTCCTGTGACATGACCCTACCCTACCCTATAGAATACCATGGTTTCCGCGAATTAGATACGGGTGGAAAGTACCAGCCTACCCTACCTCTCTACAGAGTTAACATTCTCCCACCCCACCACTTGAATCAGCGGGTTTGAGGTACCCCATCCACCCTTCCAAAAAGTCTACATGGACACCCACCATATGATAACCATTCGGGGAGAAGAGGGAGGGTGGGGGTACCATCTCACAAGACCACCCCCTGTACTGAAAGCACACGTACACCCACCCTACCACCCGTGTGAGACTTCAGCGTTTTAGGAAGGGAGGGCCTACCAACCGTACGGCCCTTTCATCAGCCTACTACCCCACCCCTGATCAGAAGTCAACCTGTTATTGTGGAGAGTACCGCGTCTGATCCCATCAGTACGGGGGGTGGGGGTACCCGGGGTAATTACACGGGTACAGGTAGGGTACCCTACCCTCTCTACATCACTGTTATTCTCTTAAAGTACCGGTATCAGACTCTGACTTAGGTGACCGACGGTAGGGGTAGACAATGTCGCACTACGTCAGTTGCTTTTGTCCGTTGGACTGGTCTTTACTCAAAGTTTTTAGACATTAGGTATCAGCAAACTTTGAAATCCTCCCCTCTGATTTCAGGATATCCGCAAAACTCTGTATGTACCTCCCGGAGTCCGCCTGAATCATGTAGTCACCAGTTACCCGGTAGTACGGTAACCATTACCGGCCCCCAGTGCCGCCGCCCGGGCTCCGACCCGCCGGGGCCCGGGTCACTGAGGCCGGTGTACCGTACCGGGGCCCGCTGAAACTTCCAGGAGCGGCAATGGCGCGTTCAGCTAACGGTACGGTACGAGCCTCGGAGCAGATGATGAGGTGCAGATGCAGTCCGTGAAGGAACGAGGGGCCGTGTTCCCAGGAAACGCAAACAGTCAGATCAGATCACACAAAAGCAGTATGTTGTGATGATGCAAGTGCGATGAACGAGTTAGAGAGACAGATCAGGTGGTGTTCGATTGGCGGGAAGAAGAAGTCGCTGAGAGTGAAGTCCTCAAACCCAATGAGATGCGAATGAGATGGAAAGCGAAGACGTTGAGATCTGATTGAGAGGAAGCAGAGTGAGTCAGCGACAGTCTCCTGATGCTGGTCTCTGAGAGGAAGCAGAGTGAGTCAGCAAGTCTCCTCATGCTGGTCTCTTGAGAGGAAGCAGAAGGCGGCGCTGCTCGTGGCCGTGGCGCTGGGGTGTGTGAGGGGGGAGGAGTGAAACGAACTCTGATCGATCAAACATTCAAGATCCGGAGTTACACACTGTGCGAGCGAGTGCTCAGTGACCCGAGGAGCAGTAATGAGATCAGAGCCGGGAGCAGCTGAGATCCTCTGATCAGCACACGATGACTCTTGGGACAGACGATGCTCGGCACGAACCAACTTGTCTCTTCGTCTCGGGTCGACGCGCGGCGTCAGGTGACCGATGGCAGCGTCTCACGCGGGAGAGTGGAAGAAGGTGTTGCCAAGACAAACAAGAGTCCGAGCAAAGTGACTCTAGAGCAAGATGGAAGAAGGTGTTGCCAAGACAAACAAGAGTCCGAGCAAAGTGACTCTAGAGCAAGATGGAAGAAGGTGTTGCCAAGACAAACAAGAGTCCGAGCAAAGTGACTCTAGAGCAAGATGGCGTGATGGGTGCGAGGGAGAGATGCATGGGAGGAGAGAAAGGAAAGCAAGTGATCATTCAATTTATTGACTGAAAAAGAAGGACAAACCGGAGCAAACAAAGGAGGGGAGGATAGAGCCAACAAATCCGCCTCAATAAAATACTAGGAAACGAAGGAGGCAGCGAAAACCGGCATTCAGGAGGAAGAGGTTGGAGACCTTGTCTTGTCCAAGGGGAGGATGGATGAAGACATCGGGGGGGTTGGAATCGCGTCCATGAGAGAGGAAAGAGAGTGACTCAGTCGTCATGCTTCTGATGGTGGTCTTTGATAGCCACGTCAGCGGTCAGCACAAGACCAGATCCATTCCTCAGCACCACCCCCTCACCCACCACAGGGCCGAAGCCACCCCTCCACCATAGTCCATACACGCCAACTCTCATTAACGGGTAACCCGGTCCGAGTCACTCGATCCCTTGCCAGAGAAGATCTCGCGAGACATCCTAGTAGCCTATGACCTGTCTACACACCCGGGTGCTATCTAGCCTAACAGTCTGACCTGACTACGGGTACTCCTGAGCTCGGTCCTCGGCGTTGAGCCAAGTAGGTTGGCGAGTGTCTGCCGGTACACTCGGAGGACTGTTTACGAAGCGGTGGCTCTTGCACACAGTCGCTCGGAGCTTGCGGAGTTGTGTGACACTGGAATGAGTTTCAAAGTCTCAAAGACTTTGAAATTCTCGGGACTCGACGGGCGGGATTTACCTCACCTAGTTATGAGGCGATGTTGGTATTGAGCACTGAGACGGCTACTGTATCGGGGTATCTCTACCAGAACCTGACGGTCCAAAGAGCTCAGTTTGGATCATCTGCTCAAGAGTTCTTCCAAGGGATCTCAGTGAACTATCTATTCAGCCCACGTGTCCTTGAGCAGTCAATCGATAAGACGGCAACCAACGCAAACTTCTCAAACACTTACGGACTGCAAGCCGGAGATCTTCTGTGGGCTCTGACAGGTGTAAAAGCCCATGAAGGGGGCAATTTGGGGTACATAGAAGTGATGGAGTATCAGTCGGACGGCAGTGTGCGTCGAGAAATGATCCCTGAATGCACGATATATCAGATTCCCTTCTCGCTTTCGCAGGCTACCAGCGTGTCAGCGGGTGCGCTTGTGCAGACAATAGCGAAGCCTGCCTACTTCAACCCTCCATACATTATCGATTCCGATGATACATGGGTAACAATGTCGAGGACATCCGACTTTGCAGTTGGAGACATCGTGAGCGATGGCTCTTCAGCTCTCGAAGTGACAGCTATCAACACTGCAGACAGCAAAATCACATTAAAAAGATTGTTTGATGAAGATCAAGATCCTCCTTACACAGGGTACCTTGTGAAGATTGAGGGTCTGAGGCTCCTCAACTCAACTCTTGACACAGACGTTATGGACCCTTCTGACTCTGCTACCTTCAGCATCTCCTTGCACACTCTAGTCTCAGACTTCTACTCCCCGGGTGACTTCGTGTGGATATGCGACGGGTCTAGAGGCTTGTTTCGAGTACAAGCTGTCGGAGATTACTCCATGGACGTTACTCCATACAGTATTATTCAAGGAATATCATTCTCAAAAGACAAAGCAGTATTGTTCAAGTACGAGAGATTTGACGTTCTGAACGGTGACGCGTTATCCCCCGGTGACAGCGTCATGTTCACGTGGGGTTATGTCATATTCATGTTGTTTGCTTCTGTCGATCTGTTAAACACGGGTGGCACAGCACAAGTCATCTCATCCTCTGCGAACGAAGTCCGCCTCACCTTCACCTCAGGAGGATATGGCCCAGACCATACTATTGCATGGTTTTATGACGTACATTTCACCCATCAGCTACTGCCGATCTCCAAGAAGAGCTTCGCCACGTCCAAGCTTGCTCTAGACATTGACTCGACCGTAACGCGCGTCATCCTCTTCGACGCCTCCGGGTTCCTAGCCGGCGACAGCATCGTCATCGACGATGAGATCATGACCATAGACAACCTCAACGGCAACCTCCTCCATGTCTCTCGAGCTCAAGCAGGCACCGCTCCTGCTCCTCACAAGCTCGCTGCATCAGTCGCATGGACCGCTCCCATAGCCAAGACGTCCTCGCCAGTGTCTGCCGTAACTCCTATGACTCGGCGCGACCAGCACCTGAGATACATTGCCCAGCAGGGCTCCATCGCCCTTCCCAGCTCGATCTTGCAGGCCTCCAGCAGCTACCAAGACGTCTGGGCACAGCTCGACGAGGAGATCATCATGATCCGGCAGCCCGCCTCAGGTGTCGTCCCCGAGGATGATCGCGGGCTGAGAGGAACGTCGGCGACTGCTCACGTGACCAACACGCCCTACAACATCCCCAACGCGGTCTTCTCCTGGCAGCTCAACGTCAGGTCAAGTCTGCTGGGCTTGTCGGGCTTCTCAGCTCTGCCTGTGTACAGCATGAACGCTGCTGGAGTGATCGCAGTGTCAGGAGTCCACGTGCTGTCGGGAGGAGCCGGAGTGACAAGCCAGCCATCCTTCCAGCTGAGCCTCAACAGGTTCATCGACAGCGACGCCCAAGGGCAGGCGGTCGGAGGAGCGACTTACTCCTACCGCCCTCTGATCCAGCAGACTTACCTCGGGGTCGACCTGACAAACAAGTTCACCAAGAGACTCATCAGGCCAACTGTGACCTACCCCGTGACGTACCAGCCTTGGAGGTTCCCAGCAGACCCTCTCCACTTCCAGGACAGGATGGACGGGTATGACCCGAGCTCAGACAGCTCACTGCTGTCTCCTACCAACGGCTCCAACGCCATCAACGCCAGCTCTCCGATCCCTCACGAGCCAGGCTCGCCCGTGTTCGTGCTCGACTCCTTCGGTCAGATGCTCGGCGATCAGGCTGTACCCCAGCAGAGCCTGTCGGTGTCAGACGGCGGCGCGTACTCCTACTCCATCACCAGCCGACCGTCCGTGCTGGACTCTACCTGGAGCAGCCCGGCCCTGCTCATCGTGTCGACGTCATCGGCTACGACAGCCGACATGTACTTCAACGACACCATTGCGGGCTCCTACTCCAACGGTCAGAAGTCCGCTCTGCTTTCTGCTAGCAGCAGGATGTTCGCTTGGAAGACAGACCCGCGCAAGCTTGCTGTGATCGTCGGGGCCTCAGCAGCAGCCATGTCTACACAAGCAAATGCAAGCTCGTCGACGACTCCAGCAGGAGGTCAGAACATCGGAGCCATCATCGGAGGCGTCATCGGGGGCGTGGTAGGAGCAGGTCTGCTCGGCCTGCTCGCCTACAAGCTCCTCCTGCTCAAGGCCGTCGGCAAGGCAGTAGACGTGGAGATGGTGCCTGTCTACCTGCCTCAAGCCTATCCTGCCCTTGACGTGGAGTACGCCGCTGCAGCTGCGATGCCTGTTGGTACTCCAGCGTACGGCCAGCAGCCCATGGCTCTCGGCATGTGAGAAGCGCGGCTACTTGATGATCCGGCAGGCAGCGGCTGATGCTGCTGTCTGCCTCGTAGAGCTCGATACGAGCGATCCTTTCTATCGCATGAGAATGAAAATGATTTGTAGAATCAAGAGAGGAGGAGGTAGAGCTTGGGAGGTACGCGAGACTGACACAGCGAGGCAGGTAGCAAGAGATATGACACTCACTGCAGGACATCACAGGAACACCTTTTCAAGGGAGCGATGCTACTGAAAGAACATCACATCTTGGTAAGCACATGGATGGAATCCCTGAATGTATTCGAGGTTTGTCAGGGGCAAGCTGAATCTGAAAGAGGCAAGTCAAGCCAGACATCTGCCCAAGGTTTCTCAAAGCATGAGTGGATTCAGTCCATGCAGGAGAGGGTGTCGTCAAAACAGGCTCCTCCCTTCTATAGGTTTGAAGTCTCGAAGAGGAGAGGAGAGGAGAGAAGCGGAGAGGAGATCAGGAGAGGAGTCTTGTTACACTTCCTTGACCCCCACTTTCTTTCGTGCTTCTGGTTTCCAGGTGACTTCGGGGACTCTATGACCCCTTCCTCGGACGCATTGAACTGGCACCCACACGCGTCAACTTCCACAAATTGGATTGGTAGGGTGATGCAACCTGATAGTGAGAGGTCAGGGAGTGACGTCACCAGGCGAGGTAAAAATATAGAGAGATGCAACAAAGTTGAGACCAGGTCCTGATCTTCAGTATCCTACGGGTCTTACAGATATGTTACTCAGAATACCAAAGTTTAGTGGAGTAAAAGCGAGCACTAGCCCGCATAGACAGACATTGGGGTGGAGGAAGAGAAGAGCTGAGAGGTAGAGAGCAAGACGCGCTTCTATCAGGTACAATCAAGGCTGACCGCAACATTGCCCGACAAGCTGAGAAAGCTTCAGCCCCCTGCTCGACGCTCGTCTCACCGCCAGCTCTTGCCCCTAGCAGCACCAACAAGCTCTGTCCCTTCCCCGCCATCCCCGCCTCCCCTCCAGCTCCACCACGACCCTCCCCATCACTCGGCATCGCGTCGCTCGAGCACGGACCTGAGCCGTCGGCCCGCCTCAGAAGCACGGGTGTCGGGGATGTTGGGAGGCAAGGCGGCGCCTCGGAGCCGTCGGATGCGTCGGATGTTGTACGAGTTGTTGCTAGCAAGGCTGCTCAGAGCCTCCATCGCGCTATCCTCCAACCACCCGCTGCCCTCATGCCTTTGCATCGCCCTCACTACCGCCTCGATCGCTCCCGCCTCCCGCGCCCGCGCCTGGCTGTCTGCCATGCCCTCTGTCATGCTGCGCAAGGCCTTGCATCCGTCACGCGGTATCCATCGGTCGCCTGCGTGCGTGGACATGGCGCTGTCGACGGCCTCGATCGCTCCCGCCTCCCGCGCCCGCGCCTGGCTGTCTGCCATGCCCTCCGTCATGCTGCGCAAGGCCCTGCATGCGTGACACTGTAGCCATCGGTCGTCCACATGTGTGGACATGGCGCTGTCGACGGCCTCGATCGCTCCCGCCTCTCGAGCCCGCGCCTGGCTGTCTGCCATGCCCTCCGTCATGCTGCGCAAGGCCTTGCATGCGTCACACTGTAGCCATCGGTCGTTAACATGTGTGGACATGGCGCTGACGACGGCCTCGATCGCTCCTGCCGCCCGCGCCCGCGCCTGGCTGTCAGCCATGCCCTCCGTCATGCTCTCAAGGGCTTCGCATGCTGACCACTGCAAGCACATCTCGTCTGCGTGCGTGGACATGGCGCTGACGACGGCCTCGATCGCTCCCGCCTCCCGCGCCCGCGCCTGGCTGTCTGCCATGCCCTCCGTCATGCTGCGCAAGGCCTTGCATCCATCATTTTGTAGCCATTTCTTGTCTGCGTGCGTGGACATGGCACCGACGACGGCCTCGATCGCTCCCGCCTGCATGGCCGGGAGCTTGTTCTGCTCGTGGCCCTTGGCTATCGCTGTCATCACTTGGCATAGACCTTGCTGTATCTTCGCGTTGCTCTGGTGCCTGGTCATGGCGCTGACGACGGCCTCGATCGCTTTCGCATCTCTCGCTGTGCCCTGGTATCGGAAGTACTGCATTGTGTACTTTAGGGCCCAGCACGCAGCCTGCTGCACTTTCAAGTCGTCCGCGTGCCTATCGAGGCATCTCATGACGGCCTCGATCGCTCCCGCCTCCCGCGCCCGCGCCTGACTCTCATCCCTGAAGCTGATAGTGTTGTCCAGGGCCTCGCACGCAGCTTGCTGTACCCCCGCGTGGTCTGCATGCGTGGACATGGCGCTGACGACGGCCTCGATCGCTCCCGCCTCTCGTGCCCGCGCCTGGCTCTCTTCGATGTGATCGACTATATGCTTCAGTGCCCAGCAAGCAGCTTGCTGTACCCCCGCGTCGTCCGCGTGCGTGGACATGGCGCTGACGACGGCCTCGATCGCTCCCGCCTCTCGTGCCCGCGCCTGGCTCTCATCTCTGAAGCTGATAGTGTAGTCCAGGGCCTCGCACGCAGCCTGCTGTACCCCCGCGTGGTCTGCATGCGTGGACATGGCGCTGACGACGGCCTCGATCGCTCCCGCCTCCGACGCCCGCGCCTTGCTCTTTTTGATGAAACTGACGGTATGTCGCAGGGCCCAGCACGCAGCCTGCTGTACCCCCGCGTCGTCCGCGTGCGTGGTCATGGCGCTGACGACGGCCTCGATCGCTCCCGCCTCTCGCACCATGACTTTGTCAGCCTACCCGTTCCGAGCCATGCTGACCAAGGCTTCGCACGCAGCTTGCTGTACCTCCGCGAGAGCCTCGTACGTCCTCATCTCCTGCATCACCGCCTCTATGCTGTCGTCAGCTCCCGTCCTCAGCAGCCTCCATGCCTCCCTTGCCGGCTGCCCTACCGCTGCCGACGCCCCGACCGGCAGCGCCTGAGCTCTCGTCCTCAGCGAGCTGAGAGCGTCGCTGCCCGTGGACTCCAAGGCGGTGCAAGCTGACCCTTGCAGCTCCACGAGCTCTGCGTACTTGCGCTTCCTGACTCTCCTCGCCACCGCCTTGACACCTCCCCCCGCTGCCTCTCCGATCCTTCTCCTACCTCGGCATAGCGACTGGTTGCCGGCCCCTGCCCGCTGCTGTCCAGGCGTCCTGTCTGACCCTGTCCATGCAGCAGCCCCCTCACCCCCCTCCGCTCCGGCTCTTCCTACAGCTACCGCAAGCTCGGCGAACCTCGGGCGGTCCTCCTCCCTCGTCGCCCAGCAGCTCTCCAGCAAGGCCCACAACCCGTCCGGGCATCTTCCGAGGAGGTGCTCTCGAGGCAGCCTCCCACCCCCGCACACGTACCCGATCACAGTCGGGTCCGTCATGGGGTAGTAGGGGGTCATGCCCGAGGTCAGGATCTCCCAGCACGTGACCCCGTAGGCCCACACGTCGCTCTTCTCCGAGCACCGGCCTCTCTGCATCGACTCTGGGGGCATGTAGCGCACCGGCAGCGCTCGCCCCGCTACCCTCCCGTCACTCTCGTCCACCAGCTCCCCTGCCCGCCCGTACCCCGCCACCTTCACCGACGTCCTCCCCACGTCCTCCTTGTCGAAGCCCATGACCAGCACGTGCCGAGCCGCGAGGTCCCGGTGCACGACCCGCTGCTCAGCCAGGTGCTCCATGCCCTGCGCGATCTGCTCCATCATCGCCGTCTGGTGCCCTCGCGTCACCTGCCCCGCCAGCCTCCCCAGCAGAGCCTCTCTCAGCGACCCCAGCTCGGCGAGCTCGGTCAGCAGCAGGGGACAGCCGTCGGCGTCCTGGCTCTGCCCCATGTAGCGTACAAGCCGAGGATGCGGCCCGAGCTGAGCATGACCGCGGCTTGTCTGCCGCCGTCGTCTTGCATGAGCTTGAGCACGGCTACCTTGATCTTGCCGGGCCCTGCCCTCCTTCCTTGCACGCGGAGGTGACCTATGTAGAGGGTCTGGGAGGAGCCTGCTGTGATAGGCTGCCCCTCCATCTCCACGTCGTGGCTGGGGACGAGCAGCGCGTGTCGCTCCTGCCACTCCTGGATGGCGCTGCGGAGAGCGAGGTTGGGTACAAGGTGGTTAGAGGGGAGGAGGACGCCGGTGAGGGGGCTGGAGAGACGATGGCGGAGCCAGGTCTCGATGGAGGATCTCTGGTAGGTGTGGCCATCGCAGCAGGTGACAGGGTCGGTCATGAGCGCCATGCTGATGGGGCAGAAGAAGGACCGTAGCGCTCCCTGGTCCGCTGCCATGGCGGGGCAGAGGAGCGAGGGGAGGTGAAGGGAGGGGATAGGGGGGTACGTGCAGCGAGGGAGAGAGGGGGTGCGAGGCCGGTCTAGGGAGGGGTAGGGGGTGGTAGGAGGAGGGGAGAGGAGGGAGGAGGGGTGGTCCAAAAAAGAAAAGGGAGTGTAAAACTAAAAAAAAGAAGGATATGTCTTGTTGCTGCCTTTTGTGTGCGATGGTATCTTGCGGGTATGTGTTGTTGCTGCCTTTTGAGCATTTGGTACTGATGGTCTGAGGCGGATGGCTCCGTTATCAAGAGGAGGAGATCATCTAGGGGGTGCCGAGAACTGAGTCATCTAGGGGGGTGGGGGTGGAATCCTTCCTACCGAGAACTGTGTCATCTAGGGGGTGGGGGTGGAATCCTACCGAGAACTGTGTCATCTAGGGGGTGGGGGTGGAATCCTACCGAGAACTGTGTCATCTAGGGGGTGGGGGTGGAATCCTACCGAGAAGACGGGCATGTCGCTTGTTTCTTTTGTCGGCGGCCTCAAGCAGAGGAGCTCTTCTGGCCTGCTGCGCTTGTCGAGGTAGGCGATTGTGAAACATGGATGGGTGATCGGAGGTGAAGCCGGCGAGTAGAGGAGTGTGACGCAGCAGGAGTGAGGTGCCATAGATAGTGAGTCTGTGAGCGGAGGATCGGGAGGATTTCGCGGAGAGAGATTGAAGTGTCTGTTGCATGCTGACGGTTGCTTCTTTATGGTTTGCCAGTGCAATGAAGCATGAAGCAAGCAAGGCTTTCGAGGGACGTGCGGAGCGGAGAGCAAACGGCACGACAGGTAGAGGTCCGCAGTTGCCTGATCGTGAGAAACAAGACAATCAAAGTCGGTTTGCATGGAGTCATGACCGGTCACACACGAAGAAAAGGCAGGCAGATGTCGCAGGAAACGAGATCGAGATCGCGAGGGCATCCAAGTTAGTCGACCAGACAGCCAAAAGCTTGTCGTTGCGCAAGAGAGAGGCTGAGCTGAAGGAGGCTGAGGTCACAGGAGACGAGATCGAGATCGCAGACGCCCTCCTGAGAGTCAGGGAGGCAGAGCTGGAGGAGGCTGAGGTCACAGGAGACGAGATCGAGATCGCGAAGGCACGCAAGTTAGTCAACAAGGCATGGCTAAGCTTGTCGTTGCGCAAGAGAGAGGCTGAGCTGGAGGAGGCTGAGGTCACAGGAGACGAGATCGAGATCCTCAAGGCACGAATCAGGGTCAGGGAGGCAGAGCTGGAGGAGGCTGAGGTCACAGGAGACGAGATCGAGATCCTCAAGGCACGAATCAGGGTCAGGGAGGCAGAGCTGGAGGAGGCTGAGGTCACAGGAGACGAGATCGAGATCCTCAAGGCACGAATCAGGGTCAGGGAGGCAGAGCTGGAGGAGGCTGAGGTCACAGGAGACGAGATCGAGATCGCAGAGGCCCTTCTTGCCCTCAGGATGGCAGAGCTGGAGGAGGTTTGGCTGAGAGGAGGCCAGATAAAGTTCGAAAGGGCAGTCGAGCTAGCCAGGCAGGCAAGCATAAGCTTGTCGTTGCTCAGGAGGACGGCAGAGCTGAAGGAGATTGAGGACACAGGAGACGAGATCGAGATCGCAAAGGCGCGTTCCAGACTGACACAAGCAGAGCTTGACGAGGCGAAGATCAAAGGAGACAAGATTAAGATTGCAGGGGCATATCTCAAGTACAGGAAGACATACCTCGATATGATTCAAGTCACAGGAGACGAGATCAAGATCGCAGACGCCCTCCTGACAGTCAGGAAGCAGAGCTGAGGAGGCTGAGGACACAGGAGACGAGATCGAGATCG